AGAGAGGATGATAAAACAAATCCACTAGGGTCTCTTTAAACAAGCTTGCCTTTACATTTACAGATGGAGTGTTGAAACTTCCCAATTTCAGATTATAGTATATGGCTGCACAGTCTAAATTTCAGGCTAAACTATTTAACAACAACTCCCTCTACCCATGGTTAGAAACAGAGTAGGCTAACCCATCCTATGTAATGTGACGGAAAGTCAATTCATAGATTTATTTTTTATTTTTTTTTTGTGTGTGTGTGTTCTGTTTTGACAATAGAGTTCTGGGAGTATATGCCCGAGAGCAAGCTGATAGCCAAACAGCTTTGCTTTCACAAGCAGAGCATTATCACTGTTAGCATAGTGTAAAATCCTGTATGTACAATGGACATGGAGATCAATCAACATGGAGATGGAAAGTGAGGTGAGAAAGAAAGACAGGATAAGGGGAGAGTGTGATGTAAGATGATAGGAATAGAAAACTGAGCATAACAGAAAAAAGACTTTTCTTGATGGGCCCTTTGCTGGTTCATTCGGCTGGTGTCTTACTGGGAAGGACAATTATAAATGGGTGCTACTGTAAATGCAGCCTTTAGTACTGTCTTAGACTAGAATAGTGTAGTCAAAATGTGAATAGTTCTGTCATGATTCTTTCTAAAGCTCGGACCCACATGCAATGAAGCCAAACAGAGAGACACAATATAAAAGTTCAACGGGTTTTATTGAAGGGTATATTGAGTTTGGTGCAGAGTTCCTCTGAACTCTGCTCAGCCAGAAACTGGAAGACGAAGGGGAGACAGGTTAGGTTCAGGCTCAGTGGGAAATTGGAGTTGTCGATCTTGAAGGAGAAGATTTGTTGCCACTCACGTTTCCACTTAGAGTTAAGTCTGTGTGATGGTCTTCCAGAGAATGTTTAATTCGGTAGAGGGCGGAACAGAACTCGGACGGAGTTGAATGATGTAGCCGCTGGTTGCAACTCAGTTTTCCTGTGGTACTTTAACGGGTCGTGATGAAGGGGACTTCCTTACTCAGAGAGATCTCAGTGTGCTCATAGGTGGCTGGATCCAAACCTCCTGTTTGGAATCTGTTGCTCAGTGTAAGACTCAGTTGATCCCACTTGGGAGGAGGCAGTCCAAAAGGGTCCAGTTTGCAGGAAGGCTTCCTGCCGAAAGGCAAAGAACAAACAAGGTTTAGTCTCAGGGAGAAACAAGCACTCAGTAAAACTCTATGAGATCACAGCTTGACTAGAGAACCAAAACTCAAAATGCAAAAATTCAAATTGGACTCAGCATAAACAAGGCTTGGCTAGACCCCAAAACTAGTACCCCAAACTGGCAAACACTCTGGCGTTGTAGTAGTGGCAACCAGCAGCTTAAGAGCAGTCCGGTGATGAGTTAAACGCTTGCAGGTGCATGAGAAATCTAACCGGAGCCAGGCACCTCCTGGTGGTGGAAGGGAGAAACATAAAAGACAAGACAAACAGACAAACACAAAAACAGGGATCATGACAAGTTCCACGGATTCTAACCTTCATACTTTAGTCCTTGTGCTGACATATGGCCTTGAATGCAAAGGAATATCAGTATTTAAGCCTTAATAATAAGCCTTAATAATAACAACAGCAATAATAGTAATATATGGATATAGTAAAAGTGTACAAGAGTCCTAAGCAAGATATTCAGTAATTGAGGTACACCTTCTCAGAAAAACAGGCACTTTCATCTGTAGTTGGGCAGTCATATGTTCCATCGTGTAGACGTGTTTTACTTTCTGTAGCCACTGAGTGATTGTGGGAGGGTCAGACTTCATCCAGTTAATTGTAATATTTTTTCATGTGCCCCCCTTTTAAAGATAAACTTTAAAAATGGAAAGCTGTCTTCGTAGTTTTATGCAGAGCTGCACACTCTGAAGCATAATGATAGGAAACTGTAGAGAACATGGCACTCTTAATATCAACAGGAATCCTACCCTTTATAAAGCAAGAGCAGCATATTTCTCCTCATTAATAGAAGAAAATGAGAACAATCCTAGATTTATTTTTGATACAGTTGCCAGATTCACTTAGAACCATATCTCTGTCAAACCATTCATCCCCCTGCTTTTAGCAGTACCACTTTTAGCAGTGATTTTATGGGATTTTTTATAAATGAGATTAATCCTATTGAAAATAAGATAATAGGCACCCCTCTAAATATGACTGGGTTATCTCCAAAAGGTGAGGCAGCATATAAGGTAGCCATATAATCTGAAACAGACTGTTTTGCTTCGCTTTAACTCTCAGAGTTGACAAACCCTTAATCTTCATCTAACCCTTAAACTTGTGTGTTAGATCCTGTTCTAACCAAGTTATTTAAGGAAGTGTTCCCTCTGATTTCCACATACATTCTAGATTTGGTTAACCTATCCCTGTTACAGGGATATGTACCCTAGACCAGCGGTCCCCAACCACCGGGCCGCAGACAGGTACCGGTCCGTCGTCCGGGCCATATATATATATATATATATATATATATATATATATATATATATATATATATATACAATACAACAATACAGCACATAACAGCAGGGTGTAAAATGCAGGCAGGAAGTGCATACATGGAACGCCACAACCAGGTAGCTGTCATAGTGTACAGGAACATCTGCCATGAGTATGGGCTGGAAGTCCCAAGGTCAAAATGGAAGACACCTCCTAAGGTAGTTGAGAATGACCGAGCTAAGATCCTATGGGACTTCAAGATCCAGACTGACAAACAGGTGATGGCTAACCAACCAGACATCGTGTTGATCGACAAACAGCAGAAGAAGGCAGTAGTGATAGATGTGGCAATCCCAAGCGACAGCAACATCAAGAAGAAAGAACACGAGAAGCTTGAGAAATACCAAGGACTGAAGGAGGAGCTAGAAAAGATGTGGAAAGTAAGAGCAGCAGTGGTGCCAGTGGTAATTGGAGCACTGGGGGCTGTGACCTCCAAACTGGGAGAGTGGCTACAGCAGATTCCGGGTAAAACATCAGAGGTCTCTGTCCAGAAGAGCGCAGTCCTAGGAACAGCTAAGATACTGCGCAGAACCCTCAAACTCCCAGGCCTCTGGTAGAGGACCCGAGCTTGAGGATGACACATACCACCCCACGAGGGGTGAGAAAACAGTTATATATATATATATATATATATATATATATATATATATATATATATATATATATATATATATATATATATATATATATATATATATATATATATATATATATATATAATTTATCGACGATCAGAGTCTGAGTGATGTTTTATTTTGAAAAAAATTAAAAATTGCGGTATTCTCCCCCAATTACATCAGTCGGTGCATCTGTGCCTCTTGACACAGGTTAATTTCATTCAAGACTCGTCCTATCTTTAACATCCTATCTTTGTGTAGCAGGATTTTCTGCGGTTACAGCGACCAAAACAAAGCTACGGAGCAGACTGGACATCAGTAGCACACTTCGTGTGTCATTGTCTCCGATTACGCCTCGATGGGACTGGCTTGTTTTATTTTTTTGTTGGTTGTATTAGATTTTATGCCAGCTGTACTCAAACCTATTTCATAAAGTTTTCTTGACCCAGATGTCTTGGTCAATAATAGACCTATATATAATCTTCCTTTCTTATCTAAGAATCTTGAGAAAATAGTTGCTAAACAAGTGTTGGGCCGCTTACACCATAATGAACTTTTCAATAATCAGTCTGGTTTCATCATGGCACCGAAAAAGTTCTGGTGAAAGTCACTAATGATATTCTCATAGCCTCGGATAATGGACTTGTATCTGTACTTGTCCTGTTACATCTCAGTGCTGCATTTGGTACAGTTGATCATAATATTCTTTTAGAAAGAATTGCTGAATATTTTGTAGGAATCAAGGAAACAGCACTAGGATGGTTTAAATATTATTTATTTGACAGATTTAAGTTTGTTCATGTTAATGATAACTCTTCATGCTCCAGGGTTACCTGTGAATTACCACAGAGATCAGTGCAAGAGCCAATTCTTTTTATTATATATATTATCCCATTTGGTAGAATTTTTTGATGATACTCAGTGGGCGACTCCCAGTCATCGTGCTCGGACATTGTTTGTTGCGTTTCCTATATTACTGAAATTTTCAAAATTTCTAGAATACGTACATTTCTTTTCTTTGCAGAGGATACTAACAATGGGGGACCAGCCCTACCATATTTAAAGATAAATACAAAAATAAATAAAAGCTCGATAAATAATTAAGCATAAAATTAATTGCCCCAGAAAATACAATAATCAAATAAATGTAGGTAGAAATTAAATTATACAGTGAGACATAATTGTATATATAAATATCTATTTCAATTAGGTTCTTTATTTTTTTCGCCTTTCTAATAATTACATAATTTGTTTATTGCCTGTTATATTCTTCAAATTTATTCATTACTTACTTATTTTTTAAGAATTTATTTATGTGCATGTTATAATATACTTTGCTTTTTTTTTTTACCTTATTTATTTGTTCAGTTGTATTTAGTTCTGCCTGTTGTTTTTACATTTTTTTGTCTGCATTTTTGCCTCATTATGGAAATGAGGAAGGGCTGTGTATTAGAGAATCAACTCCTGCCCATTGGTTGGTGGCCCGTTTTTTGGGTTTTGACTTTAATTTCATGGATGTTAAACTTTGTATTGAGATATTATTATTGCAATGTGGTGGTTTGGTCATTCAGAATGTGTTGTTTCTGTATGTCTATTCTTTGTGTAATTATATATATATATTTACAATTTACAAAAAATACTTTTTTACAGCAAAGAAAATTTCTATTTATTCAGCACTTTTCTTATGCAGTAGAATCAATGTGCAAAAATCAAAACAAAAAAGAAAACAAATAAAACTAAAAAACTAAAAATCTAACCAAACACTTGTCTGAGTAAACTCTAATAAAAGCACAACTATTGCTCTATATCCTAGTATTGAATACTGTGAGACATTTAATACTTGTTACATGTTTCAGTGTTTCATCCAGAAGCATCTCTCACAGTGAATCCTGAGAAGGAGAAACATTTTACCGATCATACTGTCTCACTTAACTGTGGAGGTAGCTCAACTGAGTGGAGAGTAATGAAATATACAGTAATAAACCGTCAGTCATACTTATCAGACTGCTCCACTTGGTGGGAAATGACTGGATCATCATGTACCATCAACAGTCAGTGGTCCCATCAATCTGTGTACTGGTGTGAGACTGCAACAGGCAAGTTCAGCAATGCAGTCAACATCACTATATACAGTAAGTTTAATACATTTTACATCTGTGTCTGTAATATTTATGTATTGTGAACTTGTATCCAATATTGCTTATGTTTTTTTTTTGCTTTTTTTTGCACAGATTGATCTTTTTTTTCCTCTTTTTTTGCTCAGGCCTTAGGCTGTTGAGTTGATTTAGATAAGATTACTTAATTTGTCACCCAGGCTGGAGCAGCACCCTAGTAGGGCGAAAATTCAGTGTCTGTACATTGCATCCAAGAAAATACAAAAACACAAAAATTCTCAATGGGGGTGGGGGTGTGGTGAGGGGTGCCTGAGGCCTTGTTGCCATGAAAGTTGGGTTACAAAAGAGTAAAGGATAAAAAAGGGTGAAGAGGAAAACATTTTTTTTGACACATTATCCTTTGCAGGATACAGTTTGACATTGTAAGAAAAAAAAAAAACGCACAAAGAAGCAATGGAGAAAACTCATCATTTTAGCAGGGAAGGTCGAGCTTGGTCTTGGGTGGGGGTATGTTTATATATCAGTATATCAGTATTCGTGTGTGCTTTGAGTGTGCACAGTAGGTCCATGAAACACTGTTCCCGTTGCAATTGCCCTTGTTACTACGATGCTACAATCATGCTACAATTATGACAGATCTGGGCTAACAACTTTTTCCAAGAATTTACCATTTTACCTCTGTGTCCAGGAACCGCAGCCAGCCTGCAATGCTGTGCAAGGATCACATCCAGTTTGTGATTCTGATCCCTTAACTGTGAGTGTTGATAGCTGTGCAGATCCCCCTCATACAAGCCGAGTGTCATGTTGGGATTAAGATATCTAACCCACATGCAGAAACACTCAGAGGCAGAGAAAAACTTCAAAGGTTTATTTACAGAAATGTACAATAAATGAACTGGTCCAAGGGGGTGGTTGACTGGTCAGGAGTGGGTTCACCGCTGAGGAGGACAGAGGGGTTAGTGTTGGTCCAGGTATATTGCAGGTTGTTTGATGTTCAGGGTTATACCTGTTCTGGAGTGGAGTGAAGCTGCAGAGGGGGGGGACCTTGAGGGTCCAGAGGCTGTCGGCAGGCAGAGGGCTGTGGGCGGAGGCAGAGCTTACTGAGTGGAGGCAGGCTGATCTCTGACTGAGTCTTTTCTCTCCAAGTTATCTCTGAGGGCGGGCAGGCAGATTACAGACAGATGCAGCCCTCCAGAGTTCAACTGAGAGCGGGCAGGCAGGTAACCAGCAGAGACAACTCTCCAGGATTTCAGTTTGTCAGGCAGGATCGATCTGTGAGACAGAAAGGTAAACAGGATCAGGCTTAGTTCACAAAAAGTCAGAAGACTCAGACAGGCAGGTTGGCTCCGGCTTGCTAACCATTACTGGCAAACACTCTGGCACTGGAGTGTAGGTCTCCGCCTCCTTAAGTAGGGAGCCTCCTGATGAGCAGATAGAGGACAGGTGTTGTAGACAGCTCATGCTCCAGGAGATCTTGTGCACCCTCTGGTAGAGAAAGTGGACAAACCTCCAGATCCCAACACTGAGCAGCCTCAACAGTCAGAAAAGCCCCTGACATCTTCCGAATTTCACGATCCCCCACCTCCAAACAGCCGTAATCCAATTATCAAAAATCCACTTATTTACACTGCTTCTATGACCTCAAACGACATCATCTTCATGCACAGAACCTTCCATTTTTGCCAGGAATCCCCAAAACAGTCATAGAGGTTTCTCTGCTTCAGCACAGCTGGTTATTATGATTGCAGTAGACCAAAAGCCTGTTAATCAGATTTCAATTAAAATCAGCTGTGCTGGAACAAGGAAACCTGTAAAAGCTGCAGGACAGGGGGCCTTGAGGACTGAGTATATGATATATATGCCTTATATATATGATTATATATATATATATATATATATATATATATATATATATATATATATATATATATATATATATATATATATATATATATATATATATATATATATATATATATAGAGAGCAGAAGTGCAGCCCAGGACCACACACAACCCTAGGTCCACCCCGAGGAGGAACATAGATAGCCTTAAACCAGAATGTTTAGACCTCAGGTCCAAAGAGTGACCTAGTTCATAATGTTCAGGAGATCCTTAAGAGAGCAGTTTGGTAAATCATCAACCTGATTATTAAAGACTTCAGTGATGATGAGCAGACACTAAATATATGATATTTGACCATGACATGGTCATCTTAGGTTTAAATCCTAACTTTTTTTTCTATTTTTCTACTCCAGCTACAAGTGTGTTTTTTTCAAATGCCCAAATATAGTTGTTCCTCAAAAGGCAGAGTTCCATGTTGTTATTGATAATTGACTGTTATTATTCGGTAGACAACTGTCTGACTAAAAAACAAATTTATTAGAGGAAAATATCTAAAATCCTAGTTAACTAAGTTAACTAATTGTTAAACCATGTTTTCAGTCAGGTTTAAGGGTCTTGTCGAAAACTTGTTATTTAAACTTTTCTGAATAGATCAGATTGTAGGCAAATTTCTTTATAAAAACATGTTTTACGTGTGTCTACAGATTTTGTCAGAATGAATTCTGATCATTTGCTGAGCCTCAGGGTCTAAGGGAGTTAGTGTTTAGAACAATTAATGATTATTATAAATGCTGTTATTATCTTAGATTGGTAATATTGTATGGTAATGTTCTTTCCAGAAAGGGAATCTTGTATTTTACATATATATTTTTATTCTTACAAGAAAAAATCTCTTCACAACTATAATCATTGTTTATGTAGATGCTCAAAAAAATATTTGAATAAGTTTATAAACGTTTGAGCAATTAGCCCCTCCCATTTTTTGCTTTGTTTGTTGTTGTTGTTGTTTTTTTTTGCTGTTGTGTAACCTCAAAACCTTATGTAACCTTTCTTTTACCACAAAAAGATGATTTTATTCCTAATAGAATAATAAGAGTTATATTTCCACTATGTTCTGTTCGACAGAGCCAAAACCTGTCCTGACTGTGTCTGCATCATGGCTGGGCCCTGAAGCATCAGTTAAACTGAAGTGTCAGGTTGAAAAACTGTCTGCAGGCTGGAGGTTCTACTGGTATAAAGCTGTTCCTGACTTATCACTGGACACCTACAAGTATCAACTGTTGTCTGATAACATCAAAGGGACTGTAGAGGACTCCTACATCATCCATAGACAGACTCTCACAGCAGGATATGCATGTAGAGCTGTAACAGGGAACCCAGGGTATTTCACAGATTACAGTGAACCAAACTTTGTCTGGTCTCCAGGTCAGTTCTGTTTATATCATATAAATGCACACGGACAATTAACTGTGGTAGTTTTGTTTTTTGATAAAAATGCCAGACGATTATGATATGATAATAAAAATGTTGCTACATAACACAAATGCCTAGGAGAAGAAATAAATCATATACCTGTTTTTTTTTTTTTAGGATTTTTATACTGTAACAAAGGTAGTATGGTACGTTTATTTATAATATAATTAATTCTTAATTACATGTTCTATTTCAGATTCCCATCCAGCAGAGTCTCTTATAGTAACTCCTGACAGAGAGCAACACTTCACCTCCGAGTCTTTGACACTGAACTGTGGTGGAAACTCTACTCAGTGGAGAGTAAAGAGGTTTACAGAAACAGGATATCTCACATATATCAAAAATTGCTCAAACTGGAGAGAAATGACTGGATCCTCATGTACCATCGACAGTCGTCAGTCCTATAAAGCAGTATACTGGTGTGAGTCTGGATCAGGAGAGTTCAGCAATGCAGTCAACATCACTGTACAGGGTGTGTTGTTATGTATGTTCTATTTGTGTTTAGCCAAACAGGATTATTTGCTGAAACTGTGCACACTCTTCCTTGGAGTAAAAAGTTCACTTAATTTAAAGGTGTAGTGGGGGATTTTCAAGAACTTTATAAAAAGACCTGCCCTCTCTACTTGAACAACCCTGTACACGCTCCTGGGAGGGAACGCCTATTAAACGTGTTTGAGATCGTGCAAAGCCCAATTCTCCTTGTGCACACCTTGTTTAAAAGTTTCTGTTTGCATCGCTCATACAAGCTCACTTTCCAAAAGAAGATTTGAAATTTTTCCACAATGTCAGATTTACCACCGGTAAGAGATAATGTGGACGAGCACCTAGGACGGCCTTAGGTAAACATATGACTAGAATGATTGACAATTAGAAGGACCACTTATTTTGATGATCCATCCGGAAAAAGAACATCCTCCACTATACCTTTAAGTTTATTTAATCTTTTAATACTGAAATCCCACCTGCATTTTAATCAATAGCTTTGTTTCATTGACAAAATGTAGCAATTGAAGTGAGATCTGTTCAGACTCAGAAGTAGGGCTGGGCGATATAGAAAAAAAAGCTTATCGATAAAAACTAATGCATATTGATCGATATCGATAATTATTGAAAAGATTTGAAATCATATTTTATGTGCAGCTCTGCCTGGACTTTTTATGATATTGCTAAATGATTTAATTTTAATAAAGAACACAAACACAGACTTCCAATTAAATATTTATTTAACCTTTAACTTTTTTAACCATAACAGAATTGTTTTAAAGAAAAAAGACTTAAGAGACCTGAGTTGTTATTAAGTACTGACAAAGAAAAAACTAAAGTGACCAGAAAAGTGACTAAAATAAATATAACAAATAAATAAATAGAATACCCTATTTGGGTGGGAATAGTCCACCAACAGCTTGTGGTAATTAAAAGATTGTAGGACTAGGCTACCATTTAAACTCCACTCAACAAGAACGAAAACCCAAATCAACTCACCCTTTAGCCTAGCATTTCTATGGGCGATTTTTTCTCATCCCTATTCTTCTAGAGGTGCTGCTGGCACCTCGTTATGGTTCAGCTTAGTTTCCTGCTTTAACCTGAGTTATTACTTTGAAGTTTCTGGCCCCTCAGTATTTTTCTCTCAATTGTTAGAACTATGTGGGAAACTGCCCAGAACTGAATTTTTTATTTTTTTTTTTTTATCTTCCCGAAATTCCCGAAGATACCTCGGAGGTGATGCAGAGCCGCGCCGGGGCCTACACAGCTCGTACTCCTGCGGGTGTGAGCGGCCGAGATGATAAAAAAAAGTTGGTTGTGTTATCAGACTTCGCTTTCACTGGTTCCCTACACATTTTACAGATGACTGGTTTGTTTTTTGTCCGACTTGCCATGACCGAAATACTGCCAGACTGGCGAACTACAAAAACCCTTCTTTGGAACAGTTTCCTCCGCCTCTCCTTGCCTCTTCTTGCTGCGACATCTTCATGTGCTCTGTGTTGTGGTTTGAGAGGGCGGCGCTTTGTGACGGCGTGCCTGGGTCCGCGATTGTGATTGGTTGGGAGGAAGCAGTGATAAGCATAAACCTACATGCTAGGCTACAATGAGAAGGAAGGAAAACAGCGTTTCTTCATCGAACTTTTATCGACTCTGTTTTTTTCTATTGCGCCACACGTCTATCGATCGATATATATCGTTATTGAAAGCCCAGCCCTACTCAGAAGCAAAAAAAAATCATCACATTGTACTGTTTATATAGAGATAAATAAAGTAGCCGACTGCATTAAAAACATGCCTGACAGAATATTCTGATCAGCATCTAGCTACTCAAAGCAGAAATACATGACGTTGATATGGGGTGCAGGTAGACGCAGGTCAGTTTGTATCAGTCTGAGTTACTTGATTCCAACAAGGTTTTAAATGCCTGTTGATCGGATTTTGCCAATCAGCAAAAAACAACTCCTTTCAGAATGATTCAAATTTCATTCTTATCCTGCCAACTCCAATCAGAATATTCTGACTGGTATGTTCCCATGAGATGTTTTTAGTCCAATCAGCTATTATTTTCTGTTTATCTATGTCCATGTTGACATGAATGCTGAAAAAGTGAGTAAGTGAGCAAACTTTATTTGTATGACTCTCACAGGTACAGTGTGACAAATCAATTCTAAGGGATATAAAATCCTAAGAACATCTAAAATATACAAAATAGCAGCATTGCTTTACAACTACATAAGTGGTTGTGTGTTAAACAAGTGAACACAGGCTATGCAGGCAGTGAATGATAAATAGCATACATTTGGCTTTTAATTTTACAACACTAAATACCAAACACAGGCAATTATTCACACCTTTGTCTCAGAAATAATTATTTGCTCAAGGATCTCTCACATATAATGGGTTGTTCAAGATTACAATATCTAATGAGAACAAAAACATGTTGATCCCATATTCATTTGATTTTTTCTTATGGTCTGCAGTAGCTAACATTTGAAAGATTGTTCTGTTTTCCAGATGGAGATGTTCTCCTGGTGAGCCCCGTCCATCCTGTGACTGAGGGAGCTTCTGTTTCTCTGAGCTGCAGACTCAGAGGACAAAATACACTTTCCAATGTGTTTTTCTATCACAATGACACACTGGTCCAAAATGACAGCAGAGGGGAGCTGAAGATCTCTGCAGTGTCTCAGTCAGACGAAGGCTTCTACAAGTGTGAACATTCAGGAAAAGCTTCACCACAGAGCTGGATGGCAGTAAAATGTAAGAAAATATATCTTAGAACATTATTTGATGTAATATTGTATTTGATTTTAATCTCTAATATTTTTTATTGTTAAAAATCCCATAAAGATGCTACCCACATGCTTGAAAATCCGTCACTGCCAATACCACTGATTGTTGGAGCACTCAGTGGAAAACTGCTTATCATCTTTCTGCTCCTGCTGGGCCACTTCAGAGACAGAAAAGGTGAGTCCCCTTTTGTTATGGAAGACATGCTACTTGATAATCGTTATTTATATGCTTCTCTATGCTAAATGGCTTCAAGGACTTCTAGATTCCTCACCATCATCCGTACATGCACCCTCTCATCATGTTAAACTACACTGTAATTGTAGATTCCCCACAGTAAACTGAAAGTAGTGAGGCTTCTATACAATCACCACCAACATTTTTTTATTTTTTTTTCTCTAATTATGTGAATCCTTTTTAATCTGCAATAAAGTTTGAATAATATTCTGTTTCCTAAAGAGAATGTACTATGTAAATTATTTTATAAATTATTATTGTAAAGGCAAAGAGTTAGAGGTGACATTGGGTCGTTTTTGTTAGTTTTACTTTGGTTTTCTTTTTTTGCTTTAGGAGTTCGGGCTGCTTAATGTTATGTTTCTTTCTGAAAATAAAAAGAATCAGTACAAACTAGAAAGCACTTGGAGACCTGAGATCTCCACCAAGCAGCTATTTTTTTTTTACATTCTAACCTTATCCCAAAACTACCTTAAAACATTACCTTGTTGTAAGAGGTAAATATAGCATTATTATGAAAAAGGCACTTAAAGCTGCAGTCTGTAACATTGAGAAGAGAGCAGACTTCGACTGAAAATTTGAAGAAAAACAGGTTTCACGCCACTCCCCGACCCTCTCTGCTTCACTCATGCCCCACCTCCAAGCTCCACCCCTCTCACAGCATCTGCGCGGCTACCGTATGCGACCAGAAGCGTCCAAGCAGCATACGCGGCATGGAGCGTGAACCGGTAAGAGAGATAACACTCACCTCCAAGCAGCTAGATATAAGATGCTGGTTATACCGAAGTTTGCCGTGTAAGCAGTTGTCGGCAGGGGCAGTAAGGGCAGTTTCTCTTTCGCTGGTGGCTGTCGCTCCACCATGACTTCCACGCGCGTCCTCCTGACTGCGGCAGCGGCAGGTTAAGCGGTGAGAGGGGAAGGGCCGGGAATCAGCGTGTGTGAGCTGTGATTGACACTCCATCAGACGCTCCTCTGGCTGTGATTGGTTGTTTTGACTCGTCCCGAATTATTCTTTCCAGATTGAAATACAGGCAGTATACGGGACCAATTGAAGCAGTTTTTTTCACAGGTTACATATCACATGTACTGCTGTCTGGGCATAGGGACAGTTTTAGCCAATATGACAAAAAAATGATTTTTAAAAACTTACAGACTTCAGCTTTAAGGGAAATAAATGCAATCAAAATATAAACCTTCTTTTCTCATCACAGATGATGGGAGTTAGTTTGTAAATTAAACAATGATTTTAAACCTTAAAGTCATAGCAAAATAAGTAATATACTTTGGTGAGTTTTTCACATTAGAGCCACTAAAATGCGTCTAAATGCATTTCCCTTAGAGGTCCCCTGTGAAATGTCCGACCTTCTGAAGTGACTTCAGATGTTTCCAGGCAACTTTTGACTGTCAAGAAATACACTATTTGGGGATACAGCTGTATTTATTTTAATTTTTTTTTTAATAACAGTGGAGGGTGGAATAATGCACACATTTTTTTGAAGAAAAAGCCATCACATGCACTTGAAATGCAATAAATCTGCCTTATCCTTGTTTATTTTGATTTTCTTTCAGCTTCGTGAGGAGAACTATTATACCAACGGAACAAGGATGTCTTAAATAGAACAATGAAAGCAATGAATCGAAAGTGGCCAGTACTATGACCGACATGTTTAGTTAATTTTTAATTGCCATTTTATTTTGTTGTTTTACCCAAATTAGATATTATTTCTCATTTTATCAAAGTTCTCCACTGTTGTCTTGGTGGATCCACAGCTTAATCGATTATTTTATTTCTGTCCTTTCCAACTTTGTAAGCAATATGCATTTTGTAATCTTTAGCTAAAACCATGGTAGATATGTGTACTTTTCTATGTTAAGATTTTTAATTTACTAAGAAAATTTTTGGAAATTTTTGCAACCAAATGTTAATACATAAATTATGTTTTTAAATTACTTTATTTAGTATCGATGCACTGTAAAGCTGTTTTGCAGAGTGTAACTATCAACTCTTGGATGGAAGTAAAACTGAGGGATCAGAAATGATTTGTGAAATTCAGAGAGACCAGCAAAAAAAAAAATTCTGTGTCTATGTTACAGTAATTTTATTTTGCCATTTAACTTCTGAGAAGGATTAGAAACTATATGGTGTTTGAATGGGAAACAATAACATTAACCAATCCTAACCCAAACATTTTCTTTTGTAGTAATCCTTTCATTTAGATATAGAACAGACATAAAGGTTTTTCATATGTTGCATCTCCAAAGCTCTGGAACGACCTGCCTCAGCACATCAGATAGACCTCTTCTCAGATTTTTAAATCTCATATCAAAACCCACCTTTTCTCCTTGGGTTTTAACACCTAGCAAGACAGTTGGCTTTGATATATTTTTTATTGCTTTTATCTTTTACTCAATGTTATTGATTTGGTTGTGTGAATGTTACTTTTACCCATGTTTGATCATAACAGTTTTAGCTGTTTTGTTTTTTATCTGTAATGTTTTAGGTTTTGTTTTTCACATATACATTTTTTTTTATTGTACAGCACTTTGGTCGGCTGCGGTTGTTTTTAAGTGCTTAAATAAAATTGGATTGCATTAAATCTGGACACACCCTTTTTAAAGCAGTACTAAAGAACTTTCAGTTTTGGTTGATTTTGGCTAAGCTAGTAAAACATAGAGTCTCATAGGGAAAGTTAGTTGCATCAAATTTCATCTTTTAAGCAAATAAGGAAAGTGACAAATGCCTTAAAGCAGTCTGCACATTTGTAGTTGTTTTGTGTGGCAGGGCTACTGCCATCTTCTTCAAAGTTGCTTAGTGTGACAGACGTGTCATTGAACTAGTCACAAAATTTATGAAAATATTTTATGAAAGTTAAAAAGTTACTTAGTGTTGGTAGGGTTTCATTGATGGTGTGGTTAAAAAGCTATATTGCATTAGGATATCTGACCCTTGACCCCACACCCCAAGTGGATGGGTTAAAGTTAATTTTGTTGCTTTGCACTTGTGACAATGTAATGACAATAAAGTTTATTTCCATTCCATTCATGAAGCATGTGAGCTTGGGAGTGTACCAAACTTTTTTGAAAGATTTGAGTTCTTTGCAGCACCCCACCACAGCCTCACATGGTTCAGTGTGAGCCCAGTGTAAAATATGCTAGAAGTTTCTAGATGATGTCATATCCTAAAAAAAAGAAAAACTAACTTAATTATTGTAGGGGCATAATCTCCAGCCCTGCTCAGACTAGACAAAGTTTTTCTCTCACTTATTTAAACCCTGCAGAAAAAACTTTGAAGGTCTCCATTCAACATTATCTTTAACACTTACAGTTAACAACAGCATAACATGTTATGAAATAAATCCTGAGAAACAGTCTAGCTTGTCATGAGAGGATTAGTTTTATTCCAAAATCTCCCTAGCAGGATAAACTGTTAGGGTTCTGCCCTTTGTTTAAGTTTATTTTAAATTTCTTTGTATTTGTAGTTGTTTTCTAGCAGTGTTTAGTTCTTGAGTTACTCTCTGTTGCCCCCTTCTGCTTCTAGTTATTAGTTACACTTCTACTTAGGCACTCGAACCCAGCCATCAGCTCTGGGGCTGGCGGGGGGAAAGCAAGGGGGCACTGCTGCCCAGGCTGATATTTATATATTACCACAAAACTTTTTCTTAATCCTCACTAATCCCACTTCCTGGAACTGGTCTCAGATGCCAAAGTTATTATATGCAGAAAATAAGTTAGTAGTGTTATAAAACGATGTGTATCAACTTAGAACATGATTATTCAAAGTTAGGGGGTGGAGGAGATGGTAGTTAGTAATCCTGGTCTAAATTGGAAAGAAAATGTCACTTGAACTAACAACTAAATGTCATGATTTCTTAGAGCACATTTATATTTTTATTTTATTTACATGTCTGAGATTTGCTAATGTGTTAAAGGCATTTTTAAGTGCAGGGTTTTTCTCTGAAAGAAACATCCTGATATGAATTCCTTTATCTTGACTGGGTGAGTAACATTGCAGGAATTTTCTTTGACTCTAATAGAAGGGGAAAAAATCAAATTGAATAAATTTAGTTTGATTTCCTTTCAGGAATGCAATAAAGTTATCTCCAGTTAAATTTAAAACCAGACTAAATAATTCTGAATGCTCATTTAAAATGTACAATATTTCTAGTAATATTGCATGTAACTGCTCAAACTTGACCCTTTTTTAGTTTGAGAGACCAGGGCATTAAAACAGTCCCAACCGCAAATAGAAGAGGAAGTACAGCCTGTGGTTTAGGTTTATAAAAATAGATACGGAAGATAACTATTTCTGAGAAAGCTGCACAATAGCTTGCTTCATGCAGCAAGTATATACAGTAAATACTATATATATATATATATATATTATTTTAAAAACCTTTAATCAAAATTCTTTTAAAGAACAAGTTGCTGTGCCCAACCAATTTCATTTAAAGCTACAGTGTGTAATAATTACAGGGATATAAAGTCAGAAATTGAAAATATTATACATAACTATGTTTTTTATCATCACCTATGAGCTCAGCCTTTTAACCATAATATTTGCGTTGCCTTAGAATTCGTTATTTATAATTACATAGGAGCGGATCTCGCAGCCATGGAGGCAGACACCTTTGCGCTACGGCAAGCGCAGAGGCAACAAACGCTCGAAAGTAACTACGGCAAGTTGAGAGAGATGAACTGAGACGGTACTGAACAATAGATGGCAGTATTATGCCTGAAAAGCGTTTAGTCTGCCTGAAACCAAAGAAGAAGAAGAAGCAGGTATACTGCGCTTCAGTAACAAGAAAGGTGAACAAGGCGGCAGGCGTGAGTGACTTTGCAAACTGTTTGGTACTGTTTGGCCAAACATCAGACGAATGGAGGATCATGCCTACTCTGTATCACAACGAAAAGCGGCGGACACCGAACCCCCGTCATCTAAGAAGCGGAAACACGATGAGAATAAACGCAAGCGTGACAAAAAACACGGATCAACATTGGCACGGCATTTACACGATGGAAGTCACTGATGGAGGAAAAAGGTTTTCAAAGTGACGCTCAAGTCGTCAGTTTTCTGTTGGACAGGTAATTAATCCTACACACACAATTGTCTTTTTATACACGTAATACCCCACCCCCACATCCCGTTTCAACCAAACTATTGTCAAGATGTCTGGTAGCATTACCTAGATAAGGCCACAGCTTCATAAAATTACCACAGCTGATAGTGGCGTGTGTGAGTGTGAGAGAGACAGATATATGAAGCTGCATATTAGCGAGCTACGGATATATACCTCGGTTACTTCTCTCCGGCTCCTTTGGAGATCTTCAAGCCTTTCCTCCACTGCTCTAGTCACCCCGCTTTCACCTCTCTCTTGCCTGGCCCTGGCTGCACGCCCACCCCGGCCTCTCTGCCCTCTCCCTCTTCCTCGCCTTGTAACACCCGTGCCACAAACAAGACTTGGACTGTAAACGGGGAATATATATTCTTCCAGCGAACACAATCTCGCTGTTAAACTAATGACTACAATTACTTCGTCTGTTTATATCACCATCCAAAGCAGCTCACCAAAACGTCACAACGATGTAGAAAAAATAACAGGTATATTCATTATCTTAAGTCTACATGAAATCTATACCCTACACTGACTAATGAAATACTATCTGTAAAATTATCTATGTAAACAAACCTCATCACTTAAGAAGGTAGGTGATGCGGACGTCGTGGAAGACATTTTGTCCCGTAACGGTCGCCATACTGTTGGGGGGGAGAAGCGGTGGGGGGGAGATGTTCATGTTGCTGCAGTCTGCAGTCTGAGCGCTAGATGTCACTGAAAATTACACACTGTAGCTTTAAGAAACATATATGCATATAAAGAGTAGCTTTTCGCCTGTTATTGGATCCAAGCTTCAAGAATGTTTTTTTATTTGGGCACAACAACACATAAAAATATGGAAGCTTACATATACAGTATAAAGACATTTCAGTTTAACACTCTGCAGTTGTGAAAGGAACAAAGATGTATTAAGATTTACAATGAAGTAGACCAGTTCCCAAAGTAATTTTGTAGGGGCTACAACTCAGTAGATTATCGATTAAAACAAGGTTGTTCAAACAATCTCATAAAAGGAAGCCCTTGCATCCTGCACGTTGAATGTCATTTTTGAACTTGATCAGTGTAAAAGTGAAAAGCTCTGTAAAAAAAAAAAAAACTATTACACCAGACCAAATATTTATCATTTCAAACTAACCACACACTGCAGAAGCCAGGCAGGCTTTGGTTACATAAGAGAAGAAAGAAGAAAACATTTGATGAGATCCCTTTTTTGTGCAGCTTGTAGCACGTACTACTTAACCTCAAGGTAGAGAAAATAATAACCTCAAGCCTTTTACGAAAGACACTCTAAAGTACTAGTGCTATTTTACAGGACTTTAAACAATCTTGAATTTTTCTTGAACAAGGACAAAAATTAAGTAAATAAGAATGTAAAGTTTATTTGCAAAGACAAGTGTTATGGATAATCTGGTTTACTTCCACCACCAAGCTATTTCTGCTAACTATCTAGGTAACACTTCAAAGCCAAGAGTATCATATTTCATATGTGCTTGAGAATAGCTTTGTTTCCTTTCAAACCCAGTTTTTTTTTACCCCGCTGATTTTTAATTGGTTACCCCTGACCTAGCGGTTCACTGCAGATGTACCGTTTTTAAATAAACAACCTTTGAAACATCTTACTGTCTCTCTGAATACTTGGTCCTCTGTTCTGAGCCTTGACAATTCTTGGCCGCTAAAGGCTTTCA